CACCTGGTACACACCCTTCCTCACCTGGTACACACCCTTCCTCACCTGGTACACACCCTTCCTCACCTGGTACACACCCTTCCTCACCTGGTACACACCCTTCCTCACCTGGTACACACCCTTCCTCACCTGGTACACACCCTTCCTCACCTGGTACACACCCTTCCTCACCTGGTACACACCCTTCCTCACCTGGTACACACCCTTCCTCACCTGGTACACACCCTTCCTCACCTGGTACACACCCTTCCTCACCTGGTACACACCCTTCCTCACCTGGCACACACCCTTCCTCACCTGGTACACACCCTTCCTCACCTGGTACACACCCTTCCTCACCTGGTACACACCCTTCCTCACCTGGTACACACCCTTCCTCACCTGGTACACACCCTTCCTCACCTGGTACACACCCTTCCTCACCTGGTACACACCCTTCCTCACCTGGTACACACCCTTCCTCACCTGGTACACACCCCTCCTCACCTGGTACACACCCTTCCTCACCTGGTACACACCCTTCCTCACCTGGTACACACCCTTCCTCACCTGGTACACACCCTTCCTCACCTGGTACACACCCTTCCTCACCTGGTACACACCCTTCCTCACCTGGTACACACCCTTCCTCACCTGGTACACACCCTTCCTCACCTGGTACACACCCCTTCCTCACCTGGTACACACCCTCCTCACCTGGTACACACCCTTCCTCACCTGGTACACACCCCTCCTCACCTGGTACACACCCTCCTCACCTGGTACACACCCCTCCTCACCTGGTACACACCCCTCCTCACCTGGTACACACCCCTCCTCACCTGGTACACACCCCTCCTCACCTGGTACACACCCTCCTCACCTGGTACACACCCTTCCTCACCTGGTACACACCCTTCCTCACCTGGTACACACCCTTCCTCACCTGGTACACACACCCTCCTCACCTGGTACACACCCTCCTCACCTGGTACACACCCCTCCTCACCTGGTACACACCCCTCCTCACCTGGTACACACCCCTCCTCACCTGGTACACACCCCTCCTCACCTGGTACACACCCCTCCTCACCTGGTACACACCCCTCCTCACCTGGTACACACCCCTCCTCACCTGGTACACACCCCTCCTCACCTGGTACACACCCTCCTCACCTGGTACACACCCCTCCTCACCTGGTACACACCCTCCTCACCTGGTACACACCCTTCCTCACCTGGTACACACCCCTCCTCACCTGGTACACACCCCTCCTCACCTGGTACACACCCTCCTCACCTGGTACACACCCCTCCTCACCCCTCCTCACCTGGTACACACCCTCCTCACCTGGTACACACCCCTCCTCACCTGGTACACACCCTCCTCACCTGGTACACACCCTTCCTCACCTGGTACACACCCTTCCTCACCTGGCACACACCCTTCCTCACCTGGTACACACCCTTCCTCACCTGGTACACACCCCTCCTCACCTGGTACACACCCCTCCTCACCTGGTACACACCCCTCCTCACCTGGTACACACCCCTCCTCACCTGGTACACACCCCTCCTCACCTGGTACACACCCCTCCTCACCTGGTACACACCCCTCCTCACCTGGTACACACCCCTCCTCACCTGGTACACACCCTCCTCACCTGGTACACACCCCTCCTCACCTGGTACACACCCCTCCTCACCTGGTACACACCCCTCCTCACCTGGTACACACCCCTCCTCACCTGGTACACACCCCTCCTCACCTGGTACACACCCCTCCTCACCTGGTACACACCCTTCCTCACCTGGTACACACCCCTCCTCACCTGGTACACACCCCTCCTCACCTGGTACACACCCTTCCTCACCTGGTACACACCCCTCCTCACCTGGTACACACCCCTCCTCACCTGGTACACACCCTTCCTCACCTGGTACACACCCCTCCTCACCTGGTACACACCCTTCCTCACCTGGTACACACCCTTCCTCACCTGGTACACACCCTTCCTCACCTGGTACACACCCTTCCTCACCTGGTACACACCCTTCCTCACCTGGTACACACCCTTCCTCACCTGGTACACACCCTTCCTCACCTGGTACACACCCTTCCTCACCTGGTACACACCCCTCCTCACCTGGTACACACCCCTCCTCACCTGGTACACACCCTTCCTCACCTGGTACACACCCCTCCTCACCTGGTACACACCCCTCCTCACCTGGTACACACCCCTCCTCACCTGGTACACACCCCTCCTCACCTGGTACACACCCCTCCTCACCTGGTACACACCCCTCCTCACCTGGTACACACCCTTCCTCACCTGGTACACACCCTTCCTCACCTGGCACACACCCTTCCTCACCTGGTACACACCCTTCCTCACCTGGTACACACCCCTCCTCACCTGGTACACACCCCTCCTCACCTGGTACACACCCCTCCTCACCTGGTACACACCCCTCCTCACCTGGTACACACCCCTCCTCACCTGGTACACACCCCTCCTCACCTGGTACACACCCCTCCTCACCTGGTACACACCCCTCCTCACCTGGTACACACCCCTCCTCACCTGGTACACACCCTTCCTCACCTGGTACACACCCCTCCTCACCTGGTACACACCCCTCCTCACCTGGTACACACCCTTCCTCACCTGGTACACACCCCTCCTCACCTGGTACACACCCCTCCTCACCTGGTACACACCCCTCCTCACCTGGTACACACCCCTCCTCACCTGGTACACACCCCTCCTCACCTGGTACACACCCCTCCTCACCTGGTACACACCCTTCCTCACCTGGTACACACCCTTCCTCACCTGGCACACACCCTTCCTCACCTGGTACACACCCTTCCTCACCTGGTACACACCCCTCCTCACCTGGTACACACCCCTCCTCACCTGGTACACACCCCTCCTCACCTGGTACACACCCCTCCTCACCTGGTACACACCCCTCCTCACCTGGTACACACCCCTCCTCACCTGGTACACACCCTTCCTCACCTGGTACACACCCTTCCTCACCTGGCACACACCCTTCCTCACCTGGTACACACCCTTCCTCACCTGGTACACACCCTTCCTCACCTGGTACACACCCTTCCTCACCTGGTACACACCCTTCCTCACCTGGTACACACCCTTCCTCACCTGGTACACACCCTTCCTCACCTGGTACACACCCTTCCTCACCTGGTACACACCCTTCCTCACCTGGCACACACCCTTCCTCACCTGGCACACACCCTTCCTCACCTGGTACACACCCTTCCTCACCTGGCACACACCCTTCCTCACCTGGTACACACCCCTCCTCACCTGGTACACACCCCTCCTCACCTGGTACACACCCCTCCTCACCTGGTACACACCCCTCCTCACCTGGTACACACCCCTCCTCACCTGGTACACACCCTTCCTCACCTGGTACACACCCTTCCTCACCTGGTACACACCCTTCCTCACCTGGTACACACCCTTCCTCACCTGGTACACACCCTTCCTCACCTGGTACACACCCTTCCTCACCTGGTACACACCCTTCCTCACCTGGTACACACCCTTCCTCACCTGGTACACACCCTTCCTCACCTGGTACACACCCTTCCTCACCTGGTACACACCCTTCCTCACCTGGTACACACCCTTCCTCACCTGGTACACACCCTTCCTCACCTGGTACACACCCTTCCTCACCTGGTACACACCCTTCCTCACCTGGCACACACCCCTCCTCACCTGGTACACACCCTTCCTCACCTGGTACACACCCCTCCTCACCTGGTACACACCCTTCCTCACCTGGTACACACCCTTCCTCACCTGGTACACACCCCTCCTCACCTGGTACACACCCCTCCTCACCTGGTACACACCCTTCCTCACCTGGTACACACCCCTCCTCACCTGGTACACACCCCTCCTCACCTGGTACACACCCCTCCTCACCTGGTACACACCCCTCCTCACCTGGTACACACCCTTCCTCACCTGGTACACACCCTTCCTCACCTGGCACACACCCCTCCTCACCTGGTACACACCCTTCCTCACCTGGTACACACCCCTCCTCACCTGGTACACACCCCTCCTCACCTGGTACACACCCTTCCTCACCTGGTACACACCCCTCCTCACCTGGTACACACCCCTCCTCACCTGGTACACACCCTTCCTCACCTGGTACACACCCTTCCTCACCTGGCACACACCCTTCCTCACCTGGCACACACCCTTCCTCACCTGGTACACACCCTTCCTCACCTGGCACACACCCTTCCTCACCTGGTACACACCCCTCCTCACCTGGTACACACCCCTCCTCACCTGGTACACACCCCTCCTCACCTGGTACACACCCCTCCTCACCTGGTACACACCCTCCTCACCTGGTACACACCCTTCCTCACCTGGTACACACCCTTCCTCACCTGGTACACACCCTTCCTCACCTGGTACACACCCTTCCTCACCTGGTACACACCCTTCCTCACCTGGTACACCCCTCCTCACCTGGTACACACCCTTCCTCACCTGGTACACACCCCTCCTCACCTGGTACACACCCCTCCTCACCTGGTACACACCCTTCCTCACCTGGTACACACCCTTCCTCACCTGGTACACACCCCTCCTCACCTGGTACACACCCCTCCTCACCTGGTACACACCCTTCCTCACCTGGTACACACCCTTCCTCACCTGGTACACACCCCTCCTCACCTGGTACACACCCCTCCTCACCTGGTACACACCCTTCCTCACCTGGTACACACCCCTCCTCACCTGGTACACACCCCTCCTCACCTGGTACACACCCCTCCTCACCTGGTACACACCCCTCCTCACCTGGTACACACCCCTCCTCACCTGGTACACACCCCTCCTCACCTGGTACACACCCTTCCTCACCTGGTACACACCCCTCCTCACCTGGTACACACCCCTCCTCACCTGGTACACACCCTTCCTCACCTGGTACACACCCCTCCTCACCTGGTACACGGCGCTCATGATGCCCAGAGTGGCCACGGTGGCTCGCAGCACACTCAGAGCTCCCCTGCGCGCCGATGGGCGGTACACCTGGTGAATGCATGCATGCAGGGGGATGTGGTGGCGCAGCACAGGGGGAGTGGATGCATGCAGGGGGGATGGCACAGGGAGCGGGGCAGTGGGATGCCGGCAACAAGGTAGTTGGATTGGAAGAAATTGGGGGATTGGGAAGGAGGAGAGAAGAGGGAATGGAGGGTGTTAAGGGTACGGAGGGTAGGTACAGTCTACAGAGGGGATAGTGGATATTAACGGGATTCTGTGAGAGAGGCAACCAAGGTGATGAGCCTATTTTTGAGTTGACTCAAAAATAGGTTCTGTAAGAGAGGCAACCGAGGTGGTGGAGGGTGGAAAATAGTCACGAGGCGTGAGGGGCAGCAAGCTGCTGCTCAACTTCCAAATCCTCTGGGCTTCCTTCTGACGTCATTGGAATCTCACACATGATCATCTGACACGTGTGGCACACATGGTCATCTGACACGTGTGGCACACATGGTCATCTGACACGTGTGGGTTGCACCTGCTGTGAGTTTCGCCTAATGTAGATTGCACCTAGTGACCTGGTGTGGGGTTCGACCCACCTGGTTGGGGTTGGACCCACCTGGTTGGGGTTGGACCCACCTGGTTGGGGTTGGACCCACCTGGTTGGGGTTGGACCCACCTGGTTGGGGTTGGACCCACCTGGTTGGGGTTGGACCCACCTGGTTGGGGTTGGACCCACCTGGTTGGGGTTGGACCCACCTGGTTGGGGTTGGACCCACCTGGTTGGGGTTGGACCCACCTGGTTGGGGTTCGACCCACCTGGTTGGGGTTGGACCCACCTGGTTGGGGTTGGACCCACCTGGTTGGGGTTGGACCCACCTGGTTGGGGTTGGACCCACCTGGTTGGGGTTGGACCCACCTGGTTGGGGTTGGACCCACCTGGTTGGGGTTGGACCCACCTGGTTGGGGTTGGACCCACCTGGTTGGGGTTGGACCCACCTGGTTGGGGTTGGACCCACCTGGTTGGGGTTGGACCCACCTGGTTGGGGTTGGACCCACCTGGTTGGGGTTGGACCCACCTGGTTGGGGTTGGACCCACCTGGTTGCGGTTGGACCCACCTGGTTGGGGTTGGACCCACCTGGTTGGGGTTGGACCCACCTGGTTGGGGTTGGAAACGATGGCGAAGATGGGTGGGAAGAGCTTGGGAACAAGAGCAGGCAGCTGTGAGTCGTCAATCTCCTCTGCGAATAGCGACAGACACTCAACTGCCGCTGCCACTGCTCATACGAGACGAGAGGGCGGAGGAAGGAAGGAACGGGGAGATGGATGGTCACAACGATTGCATAGCTATTACCCCTTGCAGTAGCCCCTCCTCCCCCCTCCCCATTTTCCTGCTCTTTCCCCCTCACCCCTCCTCCCCGCCCCACCTCTGTTGGGGTGAGCAGTGTCGGCCAGGGCGGCCATGAGATGATCCATCAGGTCCGGCCACACCTCCGGCCAATCACAGGATGCCACGTGTGCAATCGCGAGGCCCACGGCTGACTGGACCTTGGGCTCCTCGTCCACCAGCCCCTGGAGGAGGAGAGCCCGCACAGCTGCCTGCCAGAATGGCACAAATTGGTGACGTGGCACAATCAGAATCAGATATAGGACCAGAGGAAACCTTGTGCAGCACTGTTGCTGTGCTGGCCTATCACAAAGTCTTTTCGCCCGGATTGCTTCGCATCCATCCTCCCTCCAATTCAATTACCATCTACCAGCTCCATCAACCTCTGAGCAGCAGCAGCAGCAGCAGCAGCAGCAGCAGCAGCAGCAGCAATGCAGCTAGGTGCAAAAGGCGAAAGCTAAACATCCCTCACTCTGCTCTCTCACCTTTCCCCTTTTTCCATCCCTTCCCTTCGCCCTCCCCCTTCTCCTCTCCTCTCATCCCCCTTCCCCTCTCTCCCCTTCCCCCTCCCCCTAACTCTCACACGCCAGTTTACCTTGTCCTCTGGCGACACAGTGAATTTCTTTCCTCCCCCTTCTCCCTCCTCCTCTTCCTCGTCGCCCGCCTGCCAGTGCCTCTGCACCACCTGCCGCAGCAGCACTGCCGCTAGGTGCAGACCGGAGAGCACGAGAAGCATCGCCAGGAATATGGGGAATATTACAACGAACAAAGGGGTGATGGTAGAGAGGGACGGGGGACATGGAAGGGAGAGGGGGAACACGAGAGGAGAGGAGGAGAAGAGCCAAGCGAGGGACGCACGGGAGATGGGAAACGAAAGGAAGTTGCAAGCACGAGGACAAGTTAAGGAAACCCTTTCGAGAAGGGTAGGTAACTAGAAAAGGCCGATTGCACGCAAAGGGCAGAAACTGATTCCAGACGAAAAACGAGTGAAACAACGGCTTGCTAAGTGGACAGTGGCGGAGAAAGCACCATGGGGTCAGAGATGTATTTTAGGAGCTAAACAAGAGCTTGTTGTGGGGGCAAAGCAGACAAGTGAGGGAGCTAAACAGGAGCCTGCTGTGGGGTCAGGTCAGATGTGCATTCCGGGCGGGTTGAAGCGGACGGGGAGGAGGATATTTGTCGAGTCCCGGCGTCGAGGCTCTTGTTGCCCGCCACCCCCATCAGCGCAGGCGCGTAGCCTGCACGGCGCCGCATGGGTTGTGGTGAGGGACGCGTGAAAGGCAAAAGGGGTTTAGGGATTGAGTAGCGGGTGAGCTGGAGATAATAGAGGCGCTTGTGCACACGAGGGACGAGGGACGAGGGGCGTGAGACGTGGGACGTGGGACCTCGGATGAAGCATGAAGAGAGGGGATTTCCCTACATGTACACGAGGCGTCGGGAGGCACGTGGAGGACAGCAGTGGCGTGTTATTTCTGAATCGCTTTTTGACAAGCCACGTGGCATTCCCACAAGATTCGAGCGACGAATTTAGCGTGTGGGAGTGGAACACAGCTTCGCAGAACAACTATCACCGCCTTGCGACACAACTGTCATCGCCTTGCGACACAACTATCATCGCCTTGCGATACGCCTATCGTCGCCCCGCGACACACAGCCTCGCAACACACGGACAATCGACCTGCGACACACCAAGCATCGCCGCGCGACACACCTGCCATCGCTTCGGCCTGTCGCAACGCCTCTTCCGCGACAGCGCGGTTGGTGTTTGCCGGATCCAGGCATTCCCTCAGCCGACACAGCAGCCACTCCTGGTCCGCCGTCTGTGACGAAGCGACCGCCATTGTCACTTGTTCTTTCAAATCTTTTCCCCAACGTCGTCACTGACTCTCACGAAATGAGCGCCGTCTGCCGAAATCTTTTCTCGATTCCCCTAAGCCAGGATTCACGTAGTTGTGAACCTTTGGTAGACTAGAAACGATTCCGAATTCGCATATACTGGGCAACTATGCGACTATTGAGGCGCAAATGCTTGAGCAAATCCTTGATGCGCGCGTGGAAAAAGCTGTTCGGGTTGCTACAAGGCGTCAATTTCAAGAACGAGGATACTGCTCAGCCTATCTAGCTCAGAGCAGAATGGGCTCGACAATGAAGCAACGCGAGACAACCATTCAGGGAGGTGTGTTGACAGAGGTGACCAGCGGAGAATATCAATGGCGGAGCAGGGGGGACAAGATGAGACGAGACGGGACTGGATGGGAGGAAGATGTTGCGGATGTAACGATCATGTTCCGCCTGGAGTGCAGGAAATCCGACCATCCGCACCAATTCTGCTGTTGATAATGATGACAATATCCATGGATGGGGGATGGGTGCCAGACTCAGCAGTTGCTTGGGGGGTCAGGTTGTACACTCGTGAGCCTACATAACTGTTGTTATGAGTTGTACTAAGAAGAGTGCGCGGAAGACTTTATAAAAAGGATGAAAGTACCGAATGACGAGAATGATAAAGAAGCGAGCATTTATAGGGTCTAAACCGTGCTAGGCGAGGGCCTCGGGACGTGCGAGGCTTGGAAGTGTCGCGATTGGTGCGGGGCGACTCAGCGCTGGTTCGGTACGAAAGTGTAGACCGAGCCCAAACTGACGCGAACAGTTCGGGTTGTCCTCGCTAGGAGCAGCCTCTACAGTAATTCACATTCATTACACTCTCCCACCTTCTAAATAAGGTGCCCTTATATGTAGGCGAGTCTTGCAGTAGCGTGAAAACTGCAGATCTCGGTCGAAAACTGATCTGACGGCGCGGAAGCGTGTTGACTTTCGAGTTGACGCGCGGCTGAGCGCGTTGACCAGGCGAATTTCAAAGAGTTGGGATGTCAGCCGATGATACTGCCGATGTCGATCGAGCGGTTGAAAGCGAATGTCGAGTTGGAAATCCGTCGACGAAGGGAAGCCGTCGATGTCGCGGAAGTATATCGGATGGTCCCGATGAACGCAATGTCGGCGGGAATTCTGACGCGTTGTCAAAGATCGAAGAATCTGGTGCCGTCGATGCCGATGAAGCCATCGCGTGCGTCCGTTGTGCGGGGTGTGTCAGACGAGCTGTCGGAAATAACTGCCGAAATGTCAGAGACCTGCCGAGAACAGTGCGTGAGCACTCTTTCTCCCCCCCCCCCCTTGGAAGATAGCTGCTGCCCACCAAAATGTGCACGGCTGCTCGGACACAAAATCACAACCACCCTGACACTGAGGGTAGAATAAAATACCAAGTCTTATGACTTCCCGCCTGAAGTTCAGCCGCTGTGCTGTCAAAATTGCTGTCGGTGGCGAAATCTTCACTGTTGGAAACTCCGAAAAATGCCCAGGGTAAACTCTGTCGAAGCCCGACGTAAATGTTCCGGGATGAAACCTTCTTGTTGTCATTTTTGTCGCGTCTGCCGCTGCAGCATCTGTCGTGACTGCCACCTCGAAATTCCCCGCATGGGAGTATCAAATCACTTTACTGCTGCCAAATCTCCAGTTGTCAGCAGCTGCATTCCCGAAATTGCTGCTGTTTGGCTTGTTGCTGTGGCAAAATCTTCGCTGTAATGGTTCTAGTTGTCGGCGCCTGTCAGAAATAACTGAGCAGGAATGAATGAACTAGAACAGAGTTTGGTACAAGTAGGAAACCCTAACTTTGTGTACCCCCTAAGGTGTAACCCACTACAGCCTAGACAATATAAACATGCAATGTTTGACACACCCCCATAGGCGCAGTGGGAGACAACCACAGGGTCACAAGACCAGTCAAAGCAAAGCACAGCAAGCTCAGGGTGGATCTCAAGGATTCCACACAAATTCCGAGCACAAGCAAGCGGTCACAAGACCAGTTCACATGCAGGTTTATAACAAAGCAAGAGATACAGTGATCACAACCTAGCAAAAGTAAACAAGTAGGCATATATATATAGTGATCACAGTACAAGCAAGGTCAAGAGGTAAGCAAGTGAGGCCCAGTAGGTACAAGGCCTAGTAGAGTGCAAAAGCGCTGATGGTCACAAGGCTGAAGCGCCTTGGTGAACACATCAGCAGTGTTGGCCTCCGTGGCCACGTAACGCAGACAAAGCTGACCACGCTGCTGCAGCTCTCGAGCAAGGAAGTACCGCAGAGCGATGTGCTTCGTTCTGTGCTCCAGTCTGTGCTCCTCATACAAGGCAATGGCAGCCTTGTTGTCAACGTACAGCACTGGAGGAGAACGAGGCCGCTCTCCGAGGTCGGTCAGCAGGTAGGTCAGCCAGCGTAGCTCCTGAGCAGCCATGGCTGTGGCGTAGATCTCAGCCTCACAACTGGAGCTGAGAACAGAAGAAGAGCGAGTAGAACGCCAAGAAACTGAGCCAGAGCCAAGGCTGAAGGTGTAACCCTGGGACGACCGCTGAGTAGCCTGGTCGTCTGCCCAAGAAGCGTCTGAGTGCCCTGTGAGAACAACCCGGTCTCGCCCTCCAAGCACAAGCCCCATGCCCGACGTACTGCACAAGTAGCGCAACACCCTCTTAGCAGCATCCATGTGCTCCTTCCGGTGACGGCCAGGAGCGACATAGCGTGCTAGGATGCTAAGAGGGTATGCAAGGTCAGGTCGAGTGCAGGTCATCAGGTACATGAGGCAGCCCACAAGCTCTGGATACGGGCCACTCGGCTCTACGGACTCATCCGAAGGCAGAGCTGAGAGCGAGTGACCGGTAGGCAGAGGAGTGGACTGAGGCGAGGAGTACGTGAAGCGGAAGCGCTGGAGGACCATGTGTGACTGAGTCAGGGTGATGGTGCGCCGTGCTCTGTCCCGGGTGATCCGCAAGCCAAGATAGCTCGTCAGCTCACCCAGGTCTGTGCACGTGTGTCTCCTCTGCAGCTCCGACTTCACGTGAGCGAGTGCCGCGGTGTCAGCAGTGGCAAAGACCAAGTCGTCGACGTACACGAGGATGTAGAAAGGCGGCAGCGAGGTGTCGGTGCGTAGAAACAGCGACGGGTCAGCAGTAGAGGGAGCGAACCCAAGAGCCGCAAGTGTCGTCCTCAGTGTGTCGTGCCACTCACGTGGCGCCTGGCGGAGACCGTAGACCGGTCGCTGAAGCCTCCACTGGGTGCCAGGAGGAAATGACCCAGTGAAGCCAGGGGGGCGGCGCAGCCAGATCTCCTCGTGCAGGCTGCCCTGCAAGAAAGCAGTGCTGAAGTCAAGAGAGTGAAGCTCGTAGTCGCGGTGAGCGGCTATGTGCAGCAGCACCCGAAGAGTAGTCATCTTCGGGGTGGGGGAGAAGGTCTGAAAGAAGTCTACTCCCTCTCGCTGACTGAAGCCTCGAGCCACGTAGCGCGCCTTGAAGACAGGTGGAGAACCCGGAGGCCGCTTCACCCTGAAAATCCACATGCCACTGACGATGTTCGCCCCAGGAGGGGGAACCTCGTCTACGTAGGTGCCTGTGGACTTCCAGGAGGCCATCTCTGCGTCCATGGCTGTCTGCCACTGAGAGGAGTAGGGACCCGCCATCGCCTCAGCGTAAGAGCGTGGGGTCGGGATGTCTGGTGCATCCGGGTCTCCCTCAGGGGCAACTAGCAAGGACACGAGACGGGGCAAAGCAGCAGCAAGGCAGTGGAACTCCTCCTGTCTGTCCTCAAGGACGTCCGTGCCGAGGGCACACTCACCCCCGACGGACGGAGGACAGGCAGACGCAGACTCAGACCTAGCGACAAGGCTGGCAGCATAGTCTAGGCGACAGCGAGCAGCAAAGTCAACCAACTCAGCGACCAGGGCAGACGCAGCAGAGGACTCAAAGGTCGGGTCAGTGACAACTGTAGCGAGGAGACGCGTAATAGTGGGACTGGCAGCACGACGGGAGTCAGACTCCGGGTCAGGAAGAGTAGGAAGAGAGGACGCAGGAGGAGACGGCAGCGGGACACGCTGCGGAGCAGTGGAGGGACGCAGAGTCATGTAGTGAGTGCCAGGGACAGGAGGAGGACGCTCACGTGGGACACGACGACCAGTGCGAGCAGTACGAACAGGCGACGCAGGACGAGACTCAGGCTCACGATGCTCTGTAAGACCTCCTGTGGGACCAGCGTAAGGGGAGGGAGCAGGGAGAGGCGAGACAGGCGGTAACTGTGACTGCGGCTGGACAGGCAGAGGACACTAGACGGAGGGAGGAGGACAAGGAGGAGGAGCCTGACCAAGAACCTGCTGAAGGAGCGGTACGAAGTACGGTCGCGGCCGCGCAGCGTCTCCAGAAGCAGCAGGGACACCAGTGGCAGCCCCAACGCCCGAGTCCTCAGCACCAGCAGCAGCTCCAACGCCCGAGTCCTCAGCACCAGCAGCAGCACCACCGGTCGGGTCCTCAGCACCAGCAGCAGCTCCAACGCCCGGGTCCTCAACACCAGCAGCAGGGCCACTGGTCAGGTCCTCAGTACCAGCAGCAGCGCCACCGGTCGGGTCCTCAGCACCAGGAGCAGCTCCAACGCCCGGGTCCTCAGCACCAGCAGCAGCTCCAGCCCCCGGGTCCTCAGCACCAGCAGCAGCTCCAGCGTCCGGGTCCTCAGCACCAGCAACAGCACCACCGCTCGGGTCCGCAGTACCAGGAGCACCACTACGAAGACTGCAGCGCCGCGTGTACCACTCGCGGATCACCTGAATGGGGGGGAGCTCCTGGGTAGGAGGGGAAGTACCGGGACGAGCTCCAGAAGCACCTCTCCGGAGGCGGCAGTACTCGAGGTACCTCTCCTGCAGCTGCTGGGAGGAGGGGTCTCCTCTAGGTGGAGCACGCTCAGGCTCAGCACCCCCAGACTCAGCACCCCCAGACTCAGCACGTCCAGACTCAGCACCTCCAGGCTC